GTTTGTTTATTTTTACTTATTACTTTTTTTTTTTTCCTCAAAAAATCCACATAGTGCTCCCAGCGAAGCCAACATGGCACTTACTTGATGCTTCCGTCGTTATTTTCTGTAGTGGATTTAGTGAGGGGAGCCAAGATATTGCCGGGGATCCATCCTTCAGCGGCCGGAGAGTGGTCGTTTGCAGGCTGGTACACCAGGAACATGTTCTGCTGGTTGATAGCCAGGATCTGAACCACCTCTCCTTGATTCACACAGATCTCATCCTCCTTCAGTGCATAGTAATCTTTAATCACCACCATGGAAGAGGTCCCATTGCACCCTCCCAAATCAGTCTGTGGAAACCGACACAACAGAAACCGGTGAGCAGGCAGCGCTGAGGAACCTGCCTTCTCCAGCAGCAATCCCACCACTTCACTTCCAGCCTAACTGTACCAGGGAAAAAGATATAAAACACTTAAAGTTCACACTGGTAGAAAAGGATTTTAAGGATCTGAAAGGTGGCAGTAAGCTGACACAAACCAGCCTCCTATTTCATTTTGGATTTCACAGCTGCTGCTGCTGGTGCCCCAGCCACGTGCTCATTTGTAAGGTGTCAGAGATGAATGATCTGTGCTGAGCCAAACGGGGGGAAAGTCCAATGAAGGCTAAAGGTTAGAAGCTGAATGAATACTCACACATCTCATGATCTTAAATATAGGTCATACTGGAAAGTGGCTTTGGTCAACCACAGCCAGAAGCAGGGTCCAAACACCACTGATGGTTACTGACTCTTTGGTGGTTTGTGTGCAGGGCACATGCACCCAAATTGTAACCTTTAGCTGGCACCCTGTGAGCTGTTACATGGGAAAAAGTCTAAACTCTTCTATACCATCAGAGTAGATCTCTTCAGGAATGGTTAATGGATATTAGAGAAGCCTGAATATTGCTGCTGCCAGTACTGCCAATGGATATGGTCTGCAAACACAGTGCCCCAAAAAGAATGGGATCAGTGCTCCAGGGTCAGGCTCTGTCTCCATCTCCCAGCTGAAGTGCCACCTGTCTGGACGCCAGAGCTTTTGCAGTCTCTACTTAATCCCAAATCACATTTTACACCATCACTTCAGTATGTTGATACCTGTTGACCTGGTTAGCTGATAATTAAAGCTAACCTCACAGATCACCTATGGTTTAAGAAATGAGCTATGAGATCATGTTGTATCAGATGAGCTCAGTACCTTGCTTTGTTCATACTTGTCTCCGGGCTGTGAGTGTTCATACCCTGTGCTGCCGTTGGAGGTAGATATCTTCAGGGGTGGGAGAGATGGGTTACGGTTTGTAGCCATCAAAGGCTTCTCAGACCCTACTGGAACAGAAGAATAGGGTCTACTGTTGGGCTGAGGGACCCTACCGGCCTGGGGCCTCAGCACGGCTGAGCTACTTTCTTTGCGTTGGTACTCTATGGGAGACTGCAGCGCTGCAAAAGAGGACAAGAATTAGCTATATGCTTTCAATGACATTGCAAAGGGCTGCAGAGAGCGTGTGGGAACAGGAGATGCCGCCCATGGAAGCACACAGAGCATTCATGGCAGCACTGGACGCAAGCGTTTTATGTTGTACTGCGCATGAACCAAACACAGCACCCCATGCTACTGTGAAGAACAGCTTCGCTGACCAACACAGTGGGATAAAATGTTTGCCATTCATAGCATACATAATTGCATTCATTTTATTTGAAATCACACAGATTCATTTCTACCTGTAGTCAAAATAAATGCAAACCTGGATAACGGATGCACAGCTCATTTACAGTGAATTTTGCTGTGATCAGAAAACACAGGTCAAGACCCACAAGTCTCATTTGTGTATTCCCAAGGGAGTGTGACTACTAAATACTCCTCAGACGTGATGCACTGCAACTTGTCTCTCTCTGTGCTTTCCATATTAACTACTTTGGTTCAGGGAAACCACTGGAAATGACCAGCAAGTGAGGAAGTATAGACAGCACAAAGACATTAATCCCAGCAGTCCAGACCTGTCCAGAAAATATCCACAAGCAACATTAAACAGCTTCATAAGGCTTAAAAGATGTCTGCTTGTGAGAGCGTACATTTTGTAGTCATGGAGAGAGTTTACACTGGGAAAAGGAAGGATAAAAATGCCAGATGGTAAAGAAATAAAGAATTTGTTATGTTTGGAGGACAAGGGATCAGGGCTGGGACTCCCAGTGAATGGGAAAGGAATAAATTCGCTAGACTCAGACTACCATCCCCAGACCTATGGGTTTGGTTTTTGCATGTCATGTGGCTCTAATGGATGATTTATCATCAGTTAATACTGTGTACATGCACCAGACTAAACCTACTGGAATGCAGAGAGACTAGTCTAGCAAGAGGCAGACGGAGGACATAATGTCACAGCATAAGCCCAACCAGGGAACCACAACAGAAGGAATGTCTTTCCCAACAAGAGGAAGAGGAAAGAAAACCAGAAAGGCTCAGCACCACACAGCATACTCTCTAGCATTCCCCTTCCTGAGAAAGGCAGGACTACTCCAACAAGAAATCACTTACACTAAAGAACAAGACACTAAAAAAAAAAAATCAAGGAGGATGCCAGATCAACATTTTCTTCAAAAGGACACAAACATAGACCTGTAGCAATCTGGAAGATTACTTGGCTCCAACACCTACACAGTGACCCTTGTCACAGAAGTGATTCGCATTTATGCCACAGTGACTACTGGTTTCACTCGCTTACCTCAACTGCAGCTGAAAATGCTTTAGTCCTGCTGCAGATTGGCCATTGAGGAGAAGGAAGGTTGGGGAGAACTTTGACAGTTATTTTTGACGGTGATGGTGACATTTTTCTAGTATATACAGCGGATTAGGCTGCAAGGTCTTTAGCAGTAAGACCCAAATGAATACTTATCAGTCTATCTTGAAACAATCTATCCTACTCAGTGCTTTTAAAGGGTATTTAGTTGAGTGTCCACTCATGACTACTAATCCCACCGTTAACTGTCACAGTGATGCCTGGCTTCCAGCCTCCTGTCCAACATCTGTTAGTATACTTACGGGCTTCTGGCAAAAATCAGTGCCCACGTACTTGTGTGCTCTTTCTTTCTCTCTCAAAAACTCCAACAAAATATGATTTAAAAAAAAAAAAAAGGTACAGATCAATGGCATTTTCCTTATGAAATATATCCATCAGTGATGTATTTTCTTTAAAGCTTGCTTCTTAAAGCGAAATGAAAGAGCAGTCACTCCAGCCAATCATTTGGTGCACAGTCTGTTTCTCAGGCTTAGCAGCTTTTGCTTTTCCAAGGAAAAATATTAAAAGCTTGAATATTACAGTGTAATTACACCAAGTTTTACATTTATGAACTGTGGATACAAACGCTGTGCTTTGTACATAGCCCTGCACTCTTTAGGGCTTCCCTGTTGAAGAGAGAAAATCAGAGACAGCTTGGGCAAGAACTCACAGGGAATATTTTGTTATTAAGTTTATGCAGCATTGGCTCAGCGTGGATTTAATATGATTTTAAAGACAGAAAACATCCGCTTTAATGAAATGCAAAGCTAAAGAACGTATTTAAAGATTAGTCAGCCTCAATAAGATTACATCCTAAAAGCCACTTAAATTGTTCTGGTTGGGACAGGCTCTGCTAGCTACAATATCATTTTCTTGGATCTTATTTATAGGTTTAAAGTAAATCCTTAAGCTTGTGTTTTAATATAAATCTATTTTTACTTCTAGCTTTAGAAATACAGACGATTATGTTCCTAACCCACCAAACTCCTCGCTGGCCTCACAGGAGACAGGCTAAATAGGGGCTATGAAGATGCTTCATAGAAAAAGGAGCTCACAGGGCCGTAAGACCTGGGAGGGCAGGAGGGAATATACCAAAAATAATAAGAAAGAAAGATGTGGAAGGGATAAAAAAACCTCTGCAATAGTGCCTGTGGAGTTCTCACAAGGTTTAAAAAAATTTCTGTAGCTAACAAGTTCTGGAATTTATTTTTATTCCAATAAACCCTCATTCAAAGCCAGCTGCACTGACACAAAACCAGCAAGTTTTGGTACCAACTGGTCAAACTAGAGAACTCAGACTGCTCATCTCACCAGTCTCTTTAAGGAATCATTTTACCATGGTTGTATGAGGCTCTTTCAATCGCAAGTCATGAATATCCAGTATCATGTTTTGGAATCACAGCTGAAACACCATTTCCCCTCTCAGCTCAGCCATAGTTTTTGAACTGTCACAAATAGCTTTTGGCTGGAACCCTTCCCCAGTTAACTTTTGAAAAGTAAAACTAAGCTAAATTAAAATTTTAAAAGGACTACAAAACCTCAACGTTGAAGAAAAGACAACCTTTGTTTTGATGTGAACTGAAAGAGCCTCTTCAGATTTTGCAACAAAAAAATCCACAAAACAGAACATCAAAACCCAAAATCAAAAAAAGCTAACAGATTGTGCCAAGCCAAAAGATTTTGATTCAAGCAAATAAGACTCCTTATTGAACATGTATTACGTTTTTAAATATAGAACTGTTCTCTAATATAAGCTCAATTTTAGAAAAAGCTGTTTTGAAATCAATAATACAAAACAATTTTGGAAGCTTCCAAAGTAATGATTCCCTCTTTGTTGCTTACAAACAAACAAAGAGACACTATTTTTACATTTTTCCTCTAGTCCTGGTTCTCCCTCCTTCCCTCACCCAATCAGAACCAAGAACAAGCTAAAACTGTTAACCGGATTTGATTCCTCTCTATTTTCAAAATCCACACTTTTGTTGATCATGTGTGGGTTGGGTTTTTTGTTTTTTTGGGTTTTTTTTAACACAGCTTTAATTTGAAATATTATTTCAAACCACCCAAATCTATTCCTAAAGCAAAGTTGACATTTTGGAAAGGCCCCTGATCAGGCACACCTCCTATGGTTCCTAGGAGAAACAAGCCCAGATATTTCCTTGCCCTCCCTTTCATTTTTTGTTGAAAGCAGCTGCTGCCCTGCAGAGTTTGGACCTGTAAGGGGGTGGATGGTGAGGCAGCCTTTGTCCCAGCTCCTGTCCTCAGCTTGTAGCACATGTTAAACAGGAGGTTCCTGGGGATATGCCTTGTTCTAAGTGGCAGATACTGTGCAGATACAATGGCAACCTGGCTTCAACATGGTCTTGGGAAGGGATTAGATTTAAAATCTCCCTGTAGAATGGAAAGCACCAGGTGATATCAGCATTTTTAAAAGATCCTGCACAAAAGTACCACCAAAGGCACATGATCGATGGAGGGACTTGAGACTGGAACATGAACTTGACTGGTACGTGCAGGGCAGCTGCTCACGGACCCACCACGTATTTAAGCAGGGACCAGTCAAGCTACCAAAATCAGTCCATGAGATGCTGCTAATGGAGCCAGGACAGAAGGATCTGCAGTCTTTAATGCAAAATGGGGCTTTAGCAAGTTCTTCAGGGTGGGCTCTGGAGCCACACAGCAGTTCAGATCAGGCTTGCTTAGCCCTTCTCCCATCCTTCACCTTCCCATCAGGCAGACCTGGCATGCAGGACAGAGACCTCTGTACAGTGGCACTCTTTTCAAAGATCAGCTGTAAATTTTGAGGGCTCTTTTCCATGTACTCTGTGGATACCACTTGACCCAGTGCTTAATGACAGGCAGACTAGGGTCTAGTTTTCTCCTTGGGATTTTCCTTGTGAAACAAGTCTCTGAATGTTTTTGTCACAGAGGGAACAAAGACACAAAGATTCTAAATCCCATTTAGTGTCACAGTTTGGGAAACAGAGCAAAGACCACGTACATACCATTTAGGAAATCTCTTTGTGTGTCCAGGACCTGGTTGATGTCCTGTACCCAAGCTTGTTGAATTTCTGGATTAGCTGCCTGTAAAATGACTCTCTCTGATGTTTCCCGGCTCATTAGAGCAAACTTGCAGGGATCATTGTCCACGTTCTCTTCAATGATAAGGTAGTTCATCTGAAACAAGCCAAGATAAGCATGTGTTATGTGCAGCACGAGTTAACATTACTCAAGAATCAGAATAAAATTGTCGTGAAAAAATCCTGAAAATGATTGAGTCCAATAACAGACTGTCAGATAATAATCAGAAGAATTTGCCTCACCTAGATTTAGGCAGATAAATCTTAAGCTTAAATATGATGCTTAATAAAGCTCTGACAGATGTACCAGGCATCTGCCTGCCTTGTCTTGAATTACAACTTCTATTTTAACGTAACATAGACCTGATTGATGTGCTAAAAATTTACTGTAACCCATAAATAGATTTAAAATGTTCTTATTAAGATCTTACTAAAGTCTATAATTCCCCCAATTTAAAGAAGTGTTTACATTTCTTATCCTCCACAGGAAAGAAAGTCTCAGTCATTAGAGTATTTTAAAAAATGGAATGGGCCATGCTCAGGAATATTTAAAAAAAAAAAAAAAAAAAAAAAGAGCAATTCTCCCCTGATGCTCCAACAGATCTTATTTCTAGCATATTACACTGTCATCTGTGCACTTCACTTGACTGTAGACACAGGTACTCTTTCTGGAAATCTCATGGATGGCAATTTTGTCTGCTGTCCTGCTCTTGTGAGACTTCTGTTTAAGTCTACCCATAACTTTAACTTCTCCTGAGCTCCTTGTATCTATGGTAGTAAACAAGAATAGGTTGCCATAGCCTTTCCAAAAATTAGAGAGTGTCTTCATGTCAACAGTAGACAGCTTTAAAGACTAAGGCAATAACATCCCTCTGGAAGAATTCTATCTCCAATTGCTCTGAATATCTGTCAAGGTATGGAGAGATCCACTCCACACCTGAATACTGTCCAGCATTCAAACTGCAAAGCAGAAGAAGCCTCTTGCTTCTCTTCTGAGGGTCCCTGTGAAATTAGAGGGACACCAGGCACTCCTCTGACACAGAGACATGGAAAGGGACAGACAGTGAGCCTGGACAGTGCTCTTCCTCTTGTGCTGAGCTCTTGCTCCTCTGGTTGATAGCCAAAGCAAGCAAGTCAACCCTGATATGACTCCAGGAAAAAAGCTTGTAGGTCAGAGTCTCTAACCTCCTGTTTGTGTCTCAGGAGATGCATCTGCCGAGGCTACCCACTTACGTATTCTGAGAGTCTGAAAGGTATACAGCTGAGAAGTATCCAAGAAGGGATGTGCAATTTCTAAAGGCTAGCTACCTCACTGCATGAAGAAGGGTTCTTTGTTAATGTAGGACATCATGATGAAGCTTCTTTCACAGTCCAAGTGTGACAGACCTCAGAGAACAATATTTGGGAGCCTCATCTCCCTGACAGACCAGAACGGCTGCATTTGAAGTCATATGCACTTCTTAGTCTAACAGAGAGACCTCAGAGCTCAGCAGTGGCTGTGACACAGGACAGAAATGGGATCTCCAGCACTGGCCAGGTCCTGCTGCATGGGAGGATGTGACCAGCAGGGAAACTGCCTACATCTCTCAGGGAGTGTCTCCCAGAGAACTGGACAACTGTGACCACAGATGGTATCAAAGCCAGCCAAAGATGGCTAGTCAGTCCTGACAACTGCTGCGAAGACAGCTTCCACCCTCCCAGCAGGATCTTGTCAGCACTTGAACCAAGGTCAAAGAAACTTGGTCCTAGATGACAGTGTAAATCCAGCTCACAAATTCAGACCAGATGCCATTTCTGGGTACCCACTTTTAGGGCAGGGTTATGAAAGACAGGTGATGAGGTGGCCTGTTTGTGTGACACTTTGGACAAAGTGCCTCTCCCTGGGGAACCACGGCAAGGTGGCACAGAGAAGCAGGGAATAGTCCTGCGACAGGGAATGGTCCTGCTCCACTGCGGGCCGCAGCTCATCGTGTGGGAAAACACGAGAGAAATGCAGAAGCAGCCAGAAGCTGCAGCAGGGGCTGGGAGGCAGGGTGTGAGAGCTGCCGGCACACAGACTCCACACTGCGGTGGGGAGAAGCACATGGAGCCACGGGGGATCCCACACTTGCTGTAGGCAATGAACAGGAGAAGGAGCTGTTTGCCAAATGGAAGAAAAGAAGGACTGGAAAATTATCACACAAAAATTTCAAACTCAGGCAGTGTGAACAGCCTTACTTTCATAGGCTGTTTAACTAGAAAAGCAACTCATGCCCTTGAGGCAAGCTAATTTTATTGACATTAGGAGAGATTTATTTTTCTCTCTTTATCTACAATATACAATTCGGGAATTGTTTCCTGCAGATAAAAGCCTCATTGTTATACATACAATAAACTGAAGTAAAAATTATTCATGTTATTTCCATCTCCAACTTTAAGAATTATTTAAATCAGCAATAAGATGAAATCAAAGCTGATCATCTAAGTCAAGACGATTGTTTATTTGTACACTTCAGGTTTTCCCTTTATAACTTATTAGTTGGTTGGAAACTATGAAATACACTGACTTTGACTTGCAAACGGATATGGGCTTTTCAGTAAATGCTGCAGTTTCTGTCAGCCAAGATGATGCCTTCATTACAGTAAACATGCTGTTTATCATAGATTTGTTTACTTATATATGGTTAATATGCATTATTTCACCTGATATTGTCTTCTTCTATTTCATATTAATGTACCATTTAAAATTTAGAGCAAACACAATGTATTCTCCCACATCTCTCTTTAACCTGCATCTTTTGAAAGGAAATCAATCCCACACTGCTTTCTCAGATTTGAATGATCAAGGCATTCAAACGAACCAGTGACTTTGCTCTTTCTGCAGGCACAGCAAAGGCTGTTCTACCAGGAGAGGTGTTGCATTCATTCATCTTCACTTACCATTTCAGAGGTTAACTTTGCATTTGTCAAACAAACATAAAGCTGCTTAAACAAACAAATAAGTATTTTCCCTGGTTACTGTCAGTTTTTACTTTTAGTCCGAGCCCCATAATCTGGAAAGATTATTTAAAACCAAAATTATTTTCTTAAAACTTTCTTTATAGCTTAGGTGATTTTATAATTCTTCATGGCTGCATTTTTAGAACTCTCTGTGTGTTTTTGTTTGGTTTTGAAATAGTTCTGACTTCTTGCAACATTCACATTTGTACTAAGAGCCCTCCCCCCATTAGGGAGAGTATTTCTAGAAATGTCACACAGAGGCTTCATGTTGACTTAGTTTGGCCTAAGATGACTGTTTTGGATACTACAACATCCCCCACCTTTTATGATCATGCTTAAAAGCAACTATTGTATACTTTTTCTGACTATTGCAGGCTTTGTAGCAACATTTGCTAACTCAGAGCTATGAATGACAGAGGACCTGCCCTGGCTGTGTTTCTTGTAAAAATTAGCCAGTAAATTTAGACATACAGTGGTTTTTTGTTTTTTGTTTTGAGATGGTCTTAAACAACTTCTGATCCACTGAAAGGTAAATGCAAATGTTTTCTGTAAATTGCTGTCCACCTATGACAGTATGGACCAGTCTCACTGTACAGAAAATTGCTCAGATTTTCTTACCTGACCACCAAACAGAATAAGCCTCTCCCTCTCTGTTTCTTACCTTTATACTTTTCTTGAACATGTAGCCTGGTGTTAAAGATCCTTTTCTAAGGAGTTCGCTGAAGATAACTATTTGCTCAAAAAGAAACACCCTACGCTCCTTTGGTCGAGACTGAACTCCAGAATCCTGCTCTGTCACGTAGAAGGTGTCCTGCTGCAGCAGCTTGCCTTGAGCTGTCAGCTTGCCCTGAGAAGCAGACAAGGTGCCAACATTACAAACCCTGACCCACCATGGTCCCACCAGATGATCTGCTCTGTTCCGTGCAGTCCAAGTTTTCCAAGCAGCACTGAATTCACATGAGACATATCCCCTCTAAGTTATCAAAGCAGGAATCTTGTAAATCAAGACCTTAGTTTAAGGAAAAGAACACAGATTTTCTTCGTTCTCATTGCTACTGATTGTGCATATAAAACCAAAAGCAAGAGGTCTCAAGTACACTGTTTTGTATACTTCATTTCAAACACTGTTCCCATTATGTAGTTTGTTACTGTAGCACCTTGAATTCCCTCTAGTCATGAGCTCTTCATCACCCCTAAGCCAGCAGTCGATGACACAACACCTCTGAAGGTGCACAAAACCAGGACCTACCTGTTTGAAGGAATGCTATGATGCATAACTCAGTAAGACAAACTTGACTTCATTTGGGAGATAAGACAGCTCACCAGGACTGCCAAAGTCTGCTTTGGCTTAGTTACAAACCACAAGCTGTAACCTGTGGGGTTATAACTCACATTCCCTCCTGGGTGTTGCCAAACTCAGAGGGAGCTGTTAACACGTTAATGCTAGGTTACCTTCCTCATAGGCAGAACATTCTGGTTCACCGCTTATTTTGCTCTGGCAATAGATATAAGAAATCTAATTCAAGCTTGCAGAAGCTGTTACAGACCTCACATTTTGAAGAAACAATAGACTGTCACAAGTTCAGAGTGACAGGTATATCAACCACACCTTCAAAACCTCACCAAAGCATGCAGCTCGGTGCTGGAGAAGAACAAGCATTAGGTAAATGGCCTGGACTAGGGCAGACCGTAGAGAGGATCATGGAAAGATAAAATACCTTTCCTTGCCTGGTTGTTACTATAATCAGAATGCAAATGAATACCTCAAAGCCTTGGAGGCGACCCAGGTTCATCATATCATTGCAACGTTTCGGTACAAGGCACATTAATTCAACTGCTTTCTGTTGAGGAAAAAGGATGTTGTGTTGTTACAAAAGAATCAGAGAGTTCCTCAAAGCAAACTGTCAAATAATGAACTTCAATAGCACGATCACTGCTGGCAGTTATTCATGGTGAGGGCCCCATGCACTGAAGGTAATGTCTAAAAGAGGATGGTGCACATACAGTGCAGGACTGCGCCTTCATCTTTTAATTCTGACTTAAGCTACAAAGAAATACCACATTTAGAATACCAGCAGGATCTTCAACTATTGTCAAAGGAATATTGAGGTCTTCATTTCTCTATATAAACTGCCATGAGATAACGTAGCGCTATTGTCCAGGACATGAAAACATACCTCTATATCAGAGCACTCCAGACCAGCTTTTTCACTGTACCTCAGGAAGTCCTGGAGAAAGCAGAAAGGTTTGCATTAAAGCACTTCAGAAAGAGAAAACAAAAGATGCCAGATTAAAAAAGAAAAAGAGTATTTCGCATGTGATTTTCTGAGGAGAAACTTGCTAATATGAATAAATTCATCTTCAGAGGTTGCTGAACTTTATAACCACTTTATAGATATGGAAAAGGGGTGTGTATGGTTGCTGAAAACATCACAGAAAAACGACAAAGCTGGGATTAGCCCTTGGGAATGCTGACTTCGTCCCTGTCTTAAGCCACAAGACCACACACACTTGAAGATTTTTCTCTTCCTTTTGACATTTCAGGGAATATGCCGCTGTCTCTTTGCAAGTGTGCAATTACCAAACTGTGGGCTGATGGCAGCCTGTGTGAGACTAGTTCAAAAAAGAGACGAAACGAACTCAGAGCCCTGGCGCTGCTGGAGATTACAGGGTATGGTTCAGACATATCTAATTTTAGATATTAGCTTGAGACTCTTAGGGATGAATTTTCAGAAATGCTGAGTAATTGGCACTGTGGATAAAGTCAGCAGAAGCCAGAGTGGTCACACTCCTTGGGAAAAAAAATTACGGTGGGCTCCCCAAATTTTCAGACATTAGAATATCCTGGAAATAAGTTTCTCAAGCTCATTTGAAGAAAGGCATTCAAGAAATGGAGTCTATAGTAGTTATTAGAATCATACCATTCAACACCAAAGACTGGCTTCATTAACTCTCCTGTGCATCTTCATTGCCATTTAAAAAAAAAA